CAGCTGACAGTGCTACAGCAGCAGCAGACAATGCTACAGCAGCAGTAGACGGTACTACAACAGCAGCAGCAGCAGCAGCAGCTGATGGTGGTACAGCAGCAGCAGCAGCAGCTGATGGTGCTACAGCAGCAGCAGCAGCTGACAGTGCTACAGCAGCAGCAGCATCAGCAGTTGACCATGGTACCACAGTATTTCAATAATATTTCTCACCCTTTTTACCACAGGGTTGGCACTAGAAGCTTTCTTGGGGCCCATGGTCACTTATTTTGCAGATAAAATCACCAAAAACACTGTAATAATATGAAATGTTACGATTGTATGCTTGGATGTTACCGCGGAGGCTGGCTTGTAAACAATGCCACCGGCGGAACATGTGAGGCTGGCTCAGGCCTCACATAGACGTGTCTCGGACGAACAGCGTTGAGCGGGTTTTTTAGCGGTATGCGAGGCAAAATCTTAGCGATAAAATGTATCGGTATGCGGATTTAACGTTATGTAAGGCCAACGGTATGCGGGGGTCCACTGTAGTAGGTTTTGTCAACGTTAAGCGTAAGTTTATTGGCTGTCATCCAAGTCGATATTTTGATCAGCTCCTCATTAACAATGGTGTTGAGGGTTGCAAGATTAGGGTGAGAGATGACATAAGTCGTGTCGTCAGCAAAGAGAATGGGGTTCAGGTGTCGAGATACGTTTGGAAGATCATTGATGTATATGAGGAAGAGCAGGGGACCAAGGACACTTCCCTGCGGAACTCCAGTATCAAGTGGCTGTGTTGTTGATGCTGTGTCTTTAATGGTGACATACTGATACCTATTAGTAAGGTAAGATTTGAAATATGCAAGCGCATGGCCTCTTATACCATAATGGTCAAGTTTGTGGAGTAGGATGTCGTGGTCTACTGTGTCAAAAGCTTTTCTTAGGTCAATAAAAATTCCTAGTGGATATTCCTTATTTTCCAATGCTGTGTAAAGCAGATCTAGCATTTTTATAATTGCATCGTTAGTGCTTTTGTTTTTCCTGAATCCAAATTGGCAGGGGTTGAGTATGTTTTGTGACGTTATAAATGAATATAGTCTCCTGTGCATGAGTTTCTCAAAGATTTTGGATAGCAATGGTAAGTTTGATATTGGCCTATAGTTGTTTAAATCTGTAGGGTCACCACCTTTATGTATTGGTGTAACCCTTGCCGTCTTGAATAGTTTCGGGAAGGTGCTAGCTTCTAGTGACTTGTTAAAAAGCAATGAGATAGTATGCGAGAGGACATGGGCCACTCTCTTGTACAATAATGGTGGGACATGAGACAGATTCCCTGAGTTATTTTTAAGTGACTTTATAATCTCGGTGACTTCCGTGGGCTCAGTTGGAGCAAGATAAAAGGAATTTGGGAAATTCCCATCTAGGTAGTCCCCGGCATGGGCATTGGTACGTGGGATTTTATTGGCGAGATTAGAACCTATGGTTGAGAAGAAGTCGTTTATCTTGTTAGCTGTGTCGGTGGGTTGCAGTGGTGTTTCATTAGGTTTAGTTAGGACAATATTCTTGTTTTTTTTTCAGTTTGTGGGTCCCTAGAATCTGAGAGAGTGTTTTCCAGGTCTTTTTTATATCTCCTCTTGTGTCAGTGAATCTACTGGAGTAGTAAAGCTGTTTGGCTTTCTTTATTACTTTGGTGAGAGCTGATGAATAGTGTTTAAGAATATCTTTGTGTATTAAGCCCTGTCTATATTGCTTTTCATATTGGTGTTTCTTATCAATGGATTTCAGAATGGTGCTGGTTAGCCATGGGCAACCAAGCCGTTTGTTTGTGATCTGTTTTGTTTTTATAGGACAATGTTTGTTTTATAACAAATAAATAAATAAATAGTCTAAGTAGTTTGTTAAGAAAAATGTCTGTCCTGTCGTCAATACCATTGGCCTTGGAGAATTCTGTAGGCCAGTCAACAGTCTCTAAGTCAGCTGTGAACTTCCTTATTGAGGCCTCATCATGGAGTCTAAATGAGACTTTGTTGTATTCAAGTGGTGGTTTACTAATGTTTGTCAAGAGGAAGGTAGGGTAGTGGTCTGTAGTACTATCTGTGATTATCCCTGATTTAAGGGGGGCTAGTATATTGGTCCATATGTGGTCTATTATGGTTGCACTTGTTTCAGTGAGCCTGGTTGGTTTAGTTATTATTGGTGGTATGTATTGTTGGTATGTATTGGTATGATGGTACTGGGGTACACTGTCTTGGTACTGGGGTATACTGTGTGTTGGTACTGGAGTACACTATGTCTTGGTACTGGGGTACACTGTGTATTGGTACTGGGGTACACTGTGTCTTGGTACTGGGGTACACTCTATCTTGGTACTAGGGTACACTGTGTCTTGGTACTGGGGTACACTATGTCTTGGTACTGGAGTACACTATGTCTTGGTACTGGAGTACACTATGTCTTGGTACTGAGGTACACTATGTCTTGGTACTGGGGTACACTGTGTCTTGGTACTAGGATACACTATGTCTTGGTACTGGAGTACACTATGTCTTGGTACTGGAGTACACTATGTCTTGGTACTGGGGTACACTATGTCTTGGTACTGGAGTACACTATGTCTTGGTACTGGGGTACACTATGTCTTAGTACTGGGGTACACTATGTCTTGGTACTGGGGTACACTATGTCTTGGTACTGGGGCACACTATGTCTTGGTACTGGGGTACACTATGTGTTGGTACTGGGGTACACTATGTGTTGGTACTGGAGTACACTATGTGTTGGTACTAAGGTACACTATGTCTTGGTACTGGGGAACACTATGTCTTGGTACTGGGGTACACTATGTCTTGGTACTAGGGTACACTATGTCTTGGTACTGGAGTACACTATGTCTTGGTATTGGGTTACAGTATTACTTGGTACTGAGGTACACTATGTCTTGGTACTGGGGTACACTATGTCTTGGTACTGGAGTACACTATGTCTTGGTACTGGGGTACACTATGTCTTGGTACTGGAGTACACTCTGTCTTGGTACTGGGGTACACTATATCTTGGTGCTGGGGTACACTATGTCTTGGTACTAGGGTACACTATGTCTTGGTACTGGGGTACACTATGCCTTGGTACTGGGGTACACTATGTGTTGGTACTGGGGTACACTATGTGTAGGTACTGGGGTACACTATGTGTTGGAACTAGGGTACACTATGTCTTGGTACTAAGGTACACTATGTCTTTGTACTGGGGTACACTATGTCTTGGTACTGGGGTACACTATGTCTTGGTACTGGGGTACACTATGTGTAGATACTGGGGTACACTATGTCTTGGTACTGGGGTACACTATGTTTTGGTACTGGGGTGTTACTGAATCAAGGTCAGTTGAGCTCTGTGACTCACTCTCTTTCATCCAAATAACAAAGGAAGTCTGTCAATATAGGAGCTACAGAAGACTACACACAGAGTGTGGTAGACCTTGTAAGTCATGTCATGGAGGATGTTCTCTAACATGACCATTCACACTCACAATTCACTCTCATGAGTCTACTCATATTTAACTAACAAACTGTATGCCAGTTTTCATGTATAACTCCTGTGAAGAACTGAACAACACCACCAAACACCAGTATATCAGCAGTGAACAACAACACCAAACACCAGTACGTCAGCAGTGAACAACAACACCAAACACCAGTACGTCAGCAGTGAACAACACCACCAAACACCAGTACATCAGCAGTGAACAACAACACCAAACACCAGTACATCAGCAGTGAACAACAACACCAAACACCAGTATGTCAGCAGTGAACAACACCACCAAACACCAGTACATCAGCAGTGAACAACAACACCAAACACCAGTACATCAGCAGTGAACAACAACACCAAACACTAGTACGTCAGCAGTGAACAACAACACCAAACACCAGTACATCAGCAGTGAACAACAACATAGAACACCAGTATACCAGCAGTGAACAACAACACAGAACACCAGTATGCCAGCAGTGAACAACAATATAGAATACCAGTATGCCAGTAGTGAACAAGTGAACAACTTCTGGTGTATTTAGGAACCACTGTGACACTAGTGTGGGGGCAAAACATCACCAATAAAACCTTCCTGTAACAGCATTTGTGAATATGTCTCATGCTGATGACATTATGTATATACCATCACCACCCATCTATTGACCATCACCAATTAAATGTTTTCCATCACCAACCATCTTGTTTCCCATCAACAATCTGTTGCCCATCACCAAACCATCTGCTGCCCATCACCAACCATCTGTTTCTCATGACCAACCATCTGTTCCCATCAACCACCTGTTTCCGATCAACAATCTGTTTACCATCACCTTCCTCCTTTCCTCCTCTCCTTCCTTCATGCTACCTTGTCCTCCACTTTCTCCCTACTATACTTGCTGTAACAGTCATGGAATCGCACAAGTTCATTGAACATCAACTCAGTCCTCAGTTTGCAGGTTCTTGCTTCATCTACCTGCTAGCTCATTTGTCAAGAGGGCTCCGTCCCTCCCTCAAGTAAGATACATGTGACTCTGTTAAAAACTGTTAGGTAAAAACAACACAAGTGCAACTAATGAAACATTTTATTGTGGCAACGTTTCACTCTCCAAGAGCTTCATCGAGCAAGCAACACCTTGATTGATTGATCACTGTAAGACACATGTGCAACAGGTATTTTTATTCCCAAACATTTTACCTACACAGAAGGCTTCTTCAGTAAAATAAAGAGGAAGCAAAAGCAGTAGAGATGTAGAGACAATGTAATCAGTCCATCACCGTCAATGAAGTAATCTTGTCAGCATTGTATACCATTATTATTACGTACTATATTGACTGATCATGTTCAGCCAGCAGGCAATACCCTCAACCATACCTTGTTCAACCAGCAGACTATACACACACACATAAACACTCCACAGCATACTTGGTTGATTATGTTCAACCAGTAGACTATATACACATACAATGTAAAACACTTCACAACATGCCTGTCAGATCATGTTCAGCCAGGAGACGAGGTATGTCAATAATACGGTATTCGGAGGTTCCATGTTTGTTACGAATGTGGTGTCGTAGTTGGTTGTGATCCTGACCCAGAAACACACAGTATCCACACCTCAGAGGAAATGACGACTTGTGGCATTCATGTATATGCTGAAAAACAATAATATCTGTCTTTATTATTAAAGGTCAGCCAGTACACTGGCTTCTGCTGCTTCATTCAGTCATAAATGGTTAACAACTGGTGACCCAGTATACGTACTAGCTTCTACTTCTTCATTCAGTCATACAAAATATGAATCAAGAAAACCTGGGTGACCTAAGAAATATTGCACTACAAGTGCACTATAATCCTCTTATCATTTAGTTACAAGTGAGCAGAGTTCTCAACAGTTTTGCTACCTACCCCAGTAAGGCAAAATGCCCAAACATACATACATACATTTTATTGTGGCAACATTTCACTCTCCAAGAGCTTTGTCAAGCCGTGACCTTTCACCTAACAGTGCCAGTAATTCTACCAACATTACCACAATTTTTTATTAAATACTCTATTAAATGCTCTATCAGATTTATAAATCTGACAATACACACACAACACAATAATATAAGACACTGAACCATGTGGTTGATCACATACATATATATATATATACATATACAGTAGACTGTCATTTAGCACGAGTTTATTTGGCACGATTTGGGCATAGCACGATTGAAGAATTGCAGCAAAATTTTATGTAACACATCGTAAGATGAATTTAACACGGTTCAGTTTGCGGGAAGGAAAAAAAAAAACTTCCCTTTTCCTCAAGCAGCTGCCTTGTTGTGGATCAACGGGGGAGATCTCTTGCCATCTCCAGCCACCCCCCAACACCACCCCACAATCCCAGCATTCGTATTTCATACGTTTCCAGCCTAACTTCCCTGCTACAAGCTTGTGATTATGAACTGTGTTTTGATCTTTTAATTGCTAAATCTTGTATCTACCAAGCAATCATGACACCCAGTAGGCATACCAGTGTAGCTCAAAGTGGCAAGAAAAGGTGTAAGCATTTAAGTCTTAGAATTAACGAAGGAAATAAAGATATTAGACAGGACATCTTGTGGCCATAATGAAGTGTTACTTTGTACACATAAAAAAGAGGTAAACATAAGTTTGTGTGACTGGCTGACTTACTGAATGACTGACTGACTTACTGAATGACTTGACTATCTTACTGAATGACTTGACTGACTTACTGAATGACTTGACTGACTTACTGAATCACTTGACTGACTTACTGAATGACTTGATTGACTTACTGAATGACTTGACTGACTTACTAAATGACTTGAGACTTACTGAATGACTTGATTGAATGACTTAAAGTTAGACACTCAAGCACAACCATCAACTTCAGTACCAGAACCTCTACCATCCACCTCAGCCCAGTAGGACCACAACATAACTCTCCACTCTCATCACAATCATCCACAAACACCAGCTCCCACAATTTAAGGTAAGAAATACTATTATTTCTGTTACATTTGTAGTCTTAAGCAGTAAAAACAACATAATACATCACAACAACGAACAACAATTACATATTCACTTTTATTTTTGTAAGATGTGGAGGCCTAGAAAAAGTTGTTTGGCTTTTTGGGGGCACTCAGGAACATAACCCTATTTTTCCCATAAGTCCTTCAGTTTATCTAACACAGTTTTTTACCTAACACGTTTTTTTTTCAGGAATGTAACTACGTACTGTGTTAACCCGTAAACGGTCCAAGCAGATCTACGTTCACATGTGTAGTGCTACAAAAGTAGATCTACATTTTTTCTTACATATTTTCAAATATAACAAAAAAAAGTATATCAAAGTTTTTTACACATTTTCAAATGTAAAAAAACATAAAGAAGATCTACTTTTTTTTACGTACTTTCAAATGTTGAAAAAAACGTATATATACGTTTGGACCGTTATGGGTTAAATAACGGTCTACTGTGTACTTCTTCTTCTGTCAATAAACCAGCCATATCCCACCAAGACAGGGTGGCCCAAAATGAAAAACAAAAGATTCTCTTTTTAAATTTAGTAATTTATACAGGATAAGGGGTTACTAGCACCTTGCTCCCAGCATTTTAGTCACCTCTTATTACACACATGGCTTATGGAGGAAGAATTCTTCTCCACTTCTCCACGAAGAAAAATGCACTGGATGTATCCTGAGGCAGGGTGGCCCAACAGGAAAAACGAAAGTTTCTCCTTTTAAATTTAGTAATATATAGAAGAGAAGGGGTTACTAGCCCCTTGCTTCCGGCATTTTAGTTGCCTTTTATGATACATATGGCTTACAGAGGAAAAATTCTGTTCCACTTCCCCATGGAGATAAGCAGAAATAAAAAAGAACAAGAACTAGTAAGAAAAATAGAAGAAAGCCCAGAAAGGTGTGTATATATGCTTGTACATGCATGTGTAGTGTGACCTAAGTGTAAGTAGAAGTAGCAAGATGCACCTGAAATCTTGCATGTTTATGATACAGAAAAAAGACATCAGTAATCCTATCATCATGTAAAACAATTACAGGCTTTCATTGTACACTCACTTGGCAAACAGTAGCACCTCCCTGGGTGGTTGCTGTCTATCAACCTACTACATTAAGGGAATATATCACCGCTAGGAAAAATAAACATATATATGTATTTGTATATTCTTGATGGGGAAGTGGAACAGAATTCTTCCTCCGTAAGACATGCGTGTTGTAAGAGGTGACTAAAATGCCGGGAGCAAGGGCCTAGTAACCTCTTCTCCTGTATAAATTACTAAATTTAAAAAGAGAAACTTTCGTTTTTCTTTTTGGGCCACCCTGCCTTGGTGGGATACGGGCGGTTTGTTGAAAAAAAAAAATATTTGTATATATTTTCAAACATACCAGCCATCTCCCAATGAGGTAGGGTGACCCAAAAAGAAAAAACAAAAGTCAATTCTCTGGAGTCTAACATTACAGACTGACCTGGAAGAAGTCAGTTCTTTGGAGTCTAACATCACAAACTGACCTGGAAGAAGTCAGTTCTCTGGAGTCTAACATCACAGACAGGGCAGCTCCGGCCTTGTGCTTGGTTTCCCAGTAACACCATAACTACCGCATCACAGTGGTCGTTCAGAGAGGCAGCAATGTGTTGTTCTATGTCACGGCGACAACGACTCCATGTTTCACACTTGGAACACTTGTACTTGTGCTGTTCACTCTTCAGCTTCCATTCATCTATACAGCAATACAATGCAATTCACTACAACAATAATTTAATCTTAACAAATAAAAGCATATAATACACAAGCATACAAGAATTTAAATGCCATATACGACTGTGGAAACTACAGTTTCCAGTGAAACTCAGACAACATTACTGCTACTTCAAAATGCCTAAGTAATGTTACATTAGGGTAGGTGGTAGGTCAGTGTTGGTGGTACATCAGTGTAAGTAGTAGGTCAGTGTAAGTGGTAGGTCAGTATAAGTGGTAGGTTAGTGATAGTAATGTTTACTTGTATAAGAATATAAGAACATAAGAAAGGAGGAACACTGCAGCAGGCCTGTTGGCCCATACTAGGCAGGTCCTTCACAATCCATCCCACTAACAAAATATTTGCCCAACTCAATTTTCAATGCTACCCAAGAAATAAGCTTTGATAATTCTATTTACCCATGTGCAAGTCCCACTCAAATCCAACCCCTCTCACTCATGTATTTATCCAACCTAAATTTGAAACTACCCAAGATTTTAACCTCGATAACCCTACTAGGCAGACTGTTCCACTCATCAACTACCCTATTTCCAAACCAATACTTTCCTGTATTCCCTCTAAATCTAAACTTATCTAATTTGAATCCATTACTGCGGGTTCTCTCTTGGAGAGATATCCTCAAAACCTTATTTATATCCCCTTTATTGATACCCATCTTCCACTTATACACTTATGCCCAACAAAGACAATTACAAGGAAGGAAATACTGTAAAAGGTGTGAGAGTGTAACTGTGGTATAACCAACCTAAAGTGATTAGAGGGTCTTGATCACAAGAAGTGTTCTCATTGGCTGTGTTGATGAAGAAGTTGACCTCATTGTGTCGTGCACGGGAACCATATAACCTGAAACATACCAAATGTTATCACCTGTAATGCACACTACTCTGCTTCTTTCATGTTAACAAAAAGGAATAATTTACTCAAGAATTTTTCTTGACACAGACTTGAGTCTGAATAATAATAATAATAATAATAATAATAATAATAATAATAATAATAATAATAATGGAAATGGGAAGTAAAATGCCTGCACTCTAAAGGAGGGGTTTGGGATATTGGCAGTTTGGAGGGATATATTGTGTATTTTTATACATATATACCTCTAAACTGCTGTATTCTGGGCACCTCTGCAAAAACAGTGATTATGTGTGAGTGAGGTGAAAGTGTTGAATGATGATGAAAGTATTTTCTTTTTGAAGATTTTCTTTCTTTTTGGGCCACCCTGCCTCGGTGGGAGACCGACTTGTTGAAAAAAAAAAATAATACAGTAGACCATTACATGTATACTATAACACATTAGTTATGTTCCTGAAAATGCCGTGTTACATAAATCCAAGTAAATAAACTGAAGAACTTATGAGAAAAATAAGGTTACATTTCTGGGAGCCCCAAAAAGCCAAACATTTTTTTTTTCTTTTTACACCTCCAGATCTTGCAAAAATAAAAAGGAACATGTAATTGTTGTTCATTGTCATGATGTATTATGTTGTTTTTACTACCTAAGACCACAAATGCAACAGAAATAATAGCATTTTGTACCTTAAATTGTGGTTCATGGTGTTTGTGGATGATTGTGAAGAGAGTGTAGAGTTATGTTGTGGCCCTACTGGGCTGAGGTGGAAGGTAGAGGTCCTGGTACTGAAGCTGATGGTTGTACTGGGGTGTGCATAAATTCTGCAATGGATCTCTGCTTCACACTGCAGTACATTATACAGCTGATGGTAAGGAATCATCAGCTGCTCTAGACACTGTTTCAGAGCAATGCTTCTAGATTTGTCAGGGTCCTCTTCAGTGAAAAAGTCTAACTTTAAGTCAGCAAAGTCAAGTCTGTAAGTCAGTCAAGTAAGTCAGTCAGTAAGTCAGTCAATCAGTAAGTCAGTCAATCAGTAAGTCAATCAGTAAGTCATTCAAGTAAGTCATTCAAGTCAGTCAGTCAGTCAGTAAATCAGTCAAGTAAGTCATTCAAGTAAGTCAGTCAAGCAAGTCAGTCAAACAAATCAGTCAAGCAAATCAAGTAAATAAATCAAGTAAGTCAAGTAAATCAGTCAGTAAGTCAGTCAGGTAAGTCAGTCAGTACATAAGTCAGTTAGTAAGTCAATCAGTCATTCAGTAAGTCAGTCAGTCTGTTTATTCAGGTAGCTCTGATCTACGTGTCATTCTTTTCAGGAGATGAAAAGATTACAGCACAATTCACAAACACACAAGCTAGCTTTGAGAAGAGAGTCGTACAAGACGCATATGCACAGAGGGCTGGGTCAGGGGTGGGTGGCAGGGAGGCTACGTAGGTCTCCCCCTCAGAGACAACAGCCAGGCCATTGTCTCTGCAGCCGACGCTCCAGATTTTTTCCCCGCCCACAAACTGAACTATATTAAGTTAATTTTACAAAGTGTTATATAAAATTATGAAGCAATTTTTCAATAGTGTAATAGCCAAAGCGTGAAAAATAAATATATGTAATATAACGGTCTACTATAATAATAATAATAATAATAATAATAATAATAATAATAATAATAATAATAATAATAATAATAATGCAGCCTCTCCTCACTTAATGATGGAGTTCTGTTCCTAAGACAACGTCGGTAAACGAATCTGTCGCTAAGCAAGAAGCATACTGTAATGGTAGTGGGTTTGTGTCAATCATCTTTGACATTGTTGTAATGTCACCTCTGCACCATTTATAACATTTTTAGAATATTTTTAAACGATTATACAGTAGTGTATTGTATATTGTAATAAACAGAATAGAGGAAATCAGCTCTAATATACATTATTTAGGTGTGCATACTGGTCAGAGAGCCCGGCGTAAGTCTGAGTTGTCGGTAAACAAGTACGTCACTAAGTGAGGAGAGGCTATATTTCAAATCATTATCAAATAACACACAATAATTTAAAGCCCATAATATGCACACATTTCAGGAAAATTTAGATTACGATTAAGACTACTTAAGACAAGAAAACTACTGTACTTTACAGTTATGGTGTTCTTAAAGGTTTAGCACAAGGTATTGACAACAAAAACAATAGGTAAAATACAAGTAACAAGATTGTTCATTAAAATTAAATGACTAACTGACAAGTTATAAAAAGCTGATCATTGTAAATACAACAAAAAAACTCTATTAAAATAGCAGTGTTACAATAGAGAGAGAGGAGTACACAAAGAGCAAAATTTTTGGGGTAGAAATATAATGGAGACAGTAAGTGCAAGAGAACGAATATTGGGTGGAAGCTGCAAAGGCTGGTTGCAAATAAATGTTTTGCATTTACATTTGATTATCATAGAGCACATCAGCTTCAGAAAAAGTGCTTTCAACAATATTTTTAAAGGTGGTAGGGGAGAGGGGAAAAGTTTTAGAATCATCTGGGAAAGAGAGTAAAGAGATTCTGGGACCTTTTAGATGCATGGAGTTTTTACTCGGGTTGAATCGAACACTTGAAGCATCAAAGGGGTACAGTGATATCTCGGGATATGACTTAATTCGTTCCAGAAGACTGTTCAAGTGCTGATACCGTACAAATTTATTCCCATAAGGAATAATGTAAATTATATTAATCCATTTCAGACCCTCAAAAATCCACTTACAAAAGCACTTACATAAATACACTTACATAATTGTTTGAGTTTTGAGCTGTTCGTATACCGAGGTACCACCGTATTTTTTTTTTTTTTTGTATTCCTTCCTATGTATTCTTTTTGCAGCTCATTAAGAAGAGCTTCAGGACTGGGTTTATATTTTCCTTTACTGTCTTGTTGACTGTATATACTGTAGTATGCAGTGTAGTAAGTGTGGATGCTCTGAATATTGAGTAAATTTAAAATTTTGAAAACTGTTGTCTGGAACCTGACTGAATGATTATTGTTGAGTTGCAAATGGTTGTAGGTGATTTGCTGTTGTAGATCTCCCAAGCACAAATACCATAAGATATGGACAGATTAGAGAGTAGCAGAATAAGTAATGTTGTTTGAGGTGCATAATAACATACTTTAGAAAGGATGCTCACTCTCTTGGAGACCTTAGATATATGCTTGATGCGAGTGTTGAATTTTAAAATATTATCAATGTGTAACCTAAGAATTTTTCGTTATCTTGTTTTTTAACCCTAAAACTGTCCAAACGTAGATCTACGTTTTTTTCAACATTTAAAAGTATGTAAAAAAGTATATCTTTTTTTTTTTTTTTTTTACATTTGAAAATGTGTAAAAAACTTTGATCTACTTTTTTTTTTGTTATATTTGGAAATATGTAAAAAAAAACGTAGATCTAGTTTTGGAGCACTACGCATGTGAACGTAGATCTGCTTGGACAGTTTAACCCTTTGAGGGTTTCGGCCGTACTAGTACGGCTTACAACCCAGGGTTTTTGACGTACTAGTACGCCTAAATTCTAGCGCCCTCAAATCTAGTGGGAGAAAGCTGGTAGGCCTACATATGAAAGAATGGGTCTATGTGGTCAGTGTGCACAGCATAAAAAAAATCCTGCAGCACACAGTGCATAATGAGAAAAAAAAACTTTGACCGTTTTTTTGGAATAAAACAGTGACTTAGCACTGTATTTTCGTATGGTATTTATTGTTGTATTCCAGTTTTCTTTGTCTCATTTTATAGAATGGAAGACATATTACAGAAATTGAGATGATTTTGACTGGTTTTGCAATGAAAAGTACCTTGAAATTGAGCTCAAAGTAGCAGAATGTTCGATTTTTACCAAAGTTCAAAAGTAAACAAATCATGCCAAGCGTCCAATACACGTCAACTGGTGAGTCTAATATTCTTTTGCAAGTACGACAACATTATTTATACCATTTTTTACACTAATGCAGTAGTCTGCATAACAGTAAATCTTCTATTTTTTGTGAGAATAAAAATTCAAAGTGGAAAGCAAAAGAATGTAAGAGGGGCCTTGAGACATGACTAATGAACAGAGGAAATGTCATTTTAGTGCCAGGAATGTCTTTCTTGTTTATTCTGGACCCTATTCGGAAATTGGCATTTTTTGAAATTTGTGTGAAATTGGCAAAATTGCTAAATTCTGACCACTGTATTGGATAGTTGAAATTGATAAATGGGTGGTTTCTTTCACTCATTCGATAGAAAAAATGGAGTTCTAGCGAAATATTCATGTATTTTGTCGACTAGTACAGTGGAATTGACCGAAAATGGGGCTCAAATTGGGCAAGATTGCCGATGCGTAAACATCGCCGAGACCCCTAACTTCGCGAGAGCATAATTCCATCAAATTTCAAACTTTTGGTGTCATTATGATCGGGAAAAGATTCTCTATCTTTTCATAAGAGAAAATTATTATTTTTTTTTTTTTTAAATTTGGCCGACCCTGAGAACGAGTCTCGGAGAGGGCCTGTCGACCCTCAAAGGGTTAAGGGTTAATGATTGTATTATTTACCCTTGTGTTCATTGGTATATTACTATCTTTGTGTGCAAACATTATGTAAGTCTTGTTATTACTGAGTGTGCCATTTGCAAACAGAATTGATTAAAGTTCCTGAGAGGACTTAGGAAAGTCACTGATATAGATAAGAAACAGTAGAAGGAAAAGGATGCTATCTTGAATTATAAGTTGATTAGATGAGGTAGTATCATTAATGTTCAAATGTTAGTGACTGTTGTTAAGGTAGGACTTTTTCAATGTGAGAGACCATGGCTACTGATTCCATAAAGCTCTAATTTAAGCAGCAAGATGTTGCTTGCTACTGTAGCAAAAAAAAAAAAAAAAAAAAAAAGCCCATTGGATAGTTATTTTGAAGAGATAAATGGATTGAATCAACATCTTCGTTATGGCATCATTTATACTTTTTCCTGGCCTCAACTGCCAAGGATTAAGTAAATTATGCTTAGATGTGAATGAGTACAATTCTTTTAAAATTTTTAGATAACAATGGCAAGTTAGAAACTGGCATGTAATTGTTGATATCTGTCAAGTGACCACCTTTGTGGAGTAGAGTAACCCTTGCTAGCTTAATTATGTTAAGAAAGTTTTGGTTTCTAATGATTTGTTGAACAATGTTGCAATGATAGGTGACAGCATGTTAGTAGCTTTCTTGTTTATTAGCAGTGATATATTACCTTTGTTTCCTGCTTTGTTTCTTAGAGAATTTACTAATGAATTAACTTTAGTTGGTAATAGGTACAGAGATTGGTCAATTTTCAGTGAAGTAATAACCAACTTGGGCATGGCAGATAGGGATTTCACTTACTAGAGTGAATCCTATATTCATGAAAGAAGTCATTCAGTTTTTTGACTGTCTCACCTATTTGTATGGCAGGTTTACATACGTATTAGGTTTAATTAGAACAACGTATTTGCTTATGAGAATTAATCCCAATATGAATTGAGGGAAACGGATTTAGATGATCACATATTTGAAGTGATAAATACAAATACAAATTTATTTTGACATGATATATTGTTTATACATAAATAGGTGGGAAACGGCCGACTTGTTGAAAAAAAAAAAAAAAAAAAAAAGGTGATACTTTAGAACATATTGAAAGCAGTGGTGTATGATGGATTATTGTCACAGTGTGCACTACTCATGATACAACTAGTTGTGGGGTGTGCACAACAACTGTCACAATATTGCATGACAGGAGACAGAAATATTAGTTTCCCATTATGATCCATGATTTTATTATTGAGTGAGCTTAATATTTATGATGAATTTACCATCTTTGGTGCATGTGCAGTGCTCACCTAACACACAATATATGCCCCTGGTTGAAAGCCCATTGTTACTGTGACATTTTCAGTAAAAGTGGGATTTCAACTGGTGTCCCTCAAGTTGTGGCAGTTATTTGCCTTCTTACTACCAAACTGTATTGTGATAGTTATGAACTTATGCCTCATCACTGAGGATGAATGAGATTATTTATACATAGCAGCACAGTAAAGGCAACTCTCTTATGAAGTTCCTCTATATAGTGCAATTTTTCATAAATGATAAAGTACATGGAAAATCAATAGCATGTGAAATGGCCTTCTCAGTATGTGCTAGTTATTTTTCAACACACTTTTTTAATCACACTTATATAAAAAACCAGTATATAATAAGCTGACTTATATGGTATAGTACATACCTTCTAGCTCCCTTAACAATACTTCCATCCAGTGTTGACTCTAGTACTGATGGAGTGTACCTGCGTCTTGCATCACTGGCTTCTGTCCACTCAGAAGTAAACTCAACATGATCTTCCAGGAACCCAACAATTTGATGTTGAGGACGTTTCAACTTTTCAGGACTCTCAGCCTCATCCCACTTTAAGGACTTAAGTCTGCATTTTTTGACATTCCTAATTAGATTTTCTTTCTTTAATTTATCACAGAGGGATTTTTTACAAGCTTGAGTTGCAGAAGATTTACTGAATTTATGCTCTGCATTTAATACAGCTTTTGGATTCTGAGATAATGCCAGAGTTTGGTTGGTGACAGTGTTTAAATCTGTATTCATTACTCTTGAAGTAAAATTTGCAAGAATGTCAGCATCAGTACGGTGTACTTCCACTAAAGAAACCTTCAATGCTGAGGATAAACTATCACTAAAAAAACTCTGCGATATAGTTGTGTCTTTGCTATTCACGTTACAGGAAGGAAGATCTATGTTGCATGGCGTTGCAGCTCGCACACAGCTGCCTCCATACTCCGAGACACATCTGTCTTGTTCAACAGAACTTTCTATGGATGATGCAGCTCTCCTAGACCTTGAAGGATACACTCGACTTGCTCTATTAAGCTTCCTGTCTTTCTCTCTTTTATCTTGCATTATGACTCTTCTGAATACTAATTTTATAAGCAAATATGTCACCAGTACTGGTCAGACTATTATAGTATACAAGAATCCATCTTTCTTTCTCACCCTATCCTAGCATAACCTTGGTTCTGTGATGAACAGCAGTGTTGGAGCTCATCAGGAGTGTTCTTTGTAGTATCTGGCATCAGTTCTTTTACTTGTATTATGTATCGTCATGTTTAAAAGAAACTTTAATGAAGAAATGATTCCAAAAAAAAAGCCTCAAAGTTGGTAATGGATCCTCAGCCAATGGTAGTTTTCTGTGCCGAATTTATACAACTGAAAATAAAAAAAACATATATAGTAGAATCAAAATATGTAGATTAAACATTTAAAATACAATGTAATTGGCATCATAATAAACCTAAGTGACAGGATCTATACCACTTACATGATGCATTTAAGAAAATTTAATTGCTGGTAAGAAAAAACTTTATCATACAAAAGTGAACTGACTCCTAAGTGTCATACTGGGAGTCTGATGTTGGAGGTGACAAAGACACGGAATATACCTTATCAGGAACAAATGTGTTGTCATGAATGGTTTAGAAAACTGACAAGTTGAAGAATTGAGACACTTATGCAACACAGGGGAATCTTTATTGAAGAAACGTTTTGCCACACAGTGGCTTCATCAGTCCAATACAAAGTAGAAATGGGTAAGGAGAGGAGAAGTTTGAGGTAATCAGTCCCTCAACCTGGAATCGATGTGTTCAGTCCATCACTCTTGTAGGAAGTCCATCACTCTTGTAGGACACTGCAACATCATGGGATCTTGGTACAAAGACTTCAACGCTTGCGCAACCTTTGGACGACGACCTACTTACACTAGTGGCAGGTCCCACTGTGATCCCGCCTCCTCCTGCTTCAACTCATCTCACCGCAGTATATAAGCCACCTCTCTGGCCCTATGCTGCACTTCCTACAAGAGTGATGGACTGAACACATCGATTCCAGGTTGAGGGACTGATTACCTCAAACTTCAGTATAACAACAGTATAACAACAACAGTGTAACAACAACAGTGTAACAACAACAACAGTATAACAACAACAGTATAACAACAACAGTGTAACAACAACAGTATAACAACAACAGTGTAACAACAACAACAGTATAACAACAACAGTATAACAACAACAGTGTAACAACAACAGTATTACAACAACAGTGTAACAACAACAGTATAACAACAACAGTATAACAACAGCATAACAACAACAGTGTAACAACAACAGTATAACAACAACAGTGTAACAACAGTATAACAACAGTGTAACAACAACAGTATAACAACAGTGTAACAACAGTATAACAACAACAGTATAACAACAGTATAACAACAACAGTATAACAACAGTATAAACAACAGTGTAACAACAACAGTGTAACAACAACAGTATAACAACAACAGTGTAACAAGTGTAACAACAACAGTATAACGACAACAGTATAACAACAACAGTGTAACAACAACAGTATAACAACAACAGTGTAACAAGAACAACAGTATAACAACAACAGTATAACAACAACAGTGTAACAACAATAGTATAACAACAACAGTGTAACAACAACAGTATAACAACAACAGTGTAACAACAAGTGTAACAACAACAGTATAACAACAACAGTATAACAACAACAGTATAACAACAACAGTATAACAACAACAGTGTAACAACAACAGTATAACAACAACAGTATAACAACAACAGTGTAACAACAGTATAACAACAACAGTATAACAACAACAGTATAACAACAACAGTATAACAACAACAGTGTAACAACAACAGTATAACAACAACAGTATAACAACAACAGTATAACAACAACAGTATAACAACAACAGTGTAACAACAGTATAACAACAAGAGTATAATAACAACAGTATAACAACAACAGTGTAACAACAAGTGTAACAACAGTATAACAACAGTATAACAGCAATATAACAACAGTATAACAGCAGTATAACAGTATAACATCAGTATAACAGTATAACAGCAGTATAACAACAGTATAACAGCAGTATAACAGCAGTATAACAGCAGTATAACAACAGTATAACAGCAGTATAACAACAGTATAACAGCAGTATAACAGTATAACAGCAGTATAACAGCAGTATAACAGCAGTATAACAACAGTATAACAGCAGTATAACAGTATAACAGCAGTATAACAGCAGTATAACAGCAGTATAACAACAGTATAACAGCAGTATAACAGCAGTATAACAGCAGTATAACAACAGTATAACAGCAGTATAACAGCAGTATAACAGCAGTATAACAACAGTATAACAGCAGTATAACAGTATAACAGCAGTATAACAGCAGTATAACAGCAGTATAACAACAGTATAACAGCAGTATAACAGTATAACAGCAGTATAACAGCAGTATAACAGCAGTATAACAACAGTATAACAGCAGTATAACAATAGTATAACAGCAGTAAAACAACAGTATAACAGTATAACAGCAGTATAACAGTATAACAGCAGTATAACAGTATAACAGCAGTATAACAGTATAACAACAGTATAACAGCAGTATAACAGCAGTATAACAGCAGTATAACAACAGTATAACAGCAGTATAACAGCAGTATAACAACAGCATAACAACAGTATAACAGCAGTATAACAGTATAAGAACAGTATAACAGCAATATAACAACAGTATAACAGCAGTATAACAACAGTATAACAACAGTATAACAGCAGTATAACAACAGTATAACAGCAGTATAACAGCAGTATAACAGCAGTATAACAGCAGTATAACAGCAGTATAACAACAGTATAACAGCAGTATAACAACAGTATAACAGCAGTATAACAACAGTATAACAGCAGTATAACAGCAGTATAACAACAGTATAACAGCATAACAGCAGTATAACAGCAGTGTAACAACAGTATAACAGCAGTATAACAACAGTACAACTGCAGTATAACAGTATAACAGTATAACAGTATAACAGCATAACAGCAGTATAACAGTATAACAGCAGTATAACAACAGTATAACAGCAGTATAACAACAGTATAACAGTATAACATCAGTATAACAACAGTACAACAGCAGTATAACAGCAGTATAACAGTATAACAACAGTATAACAGCAGTATAACAGCAGTATAACAGCAGTATAACAGCAGTATAACAGCAGTATAACAGCATAACACCAGTATAACAGCAGTATAACTAACAGTATAACAGCAGTATAACAGCAGTATAACAACAGTATAACAGCAGTATAACAGCAGTATAACAACAGTATAACAGTATAACATCATAACAGCAGTATAACAGCAGTATAACAGCAGTATAACAGCAGTATAACAGCAGTATAACAGCAGTATAAACAGATAACAACAGTATAACAACAGTATAACAGCAGTATAACAGCAGTATAACAGCAGTATAACAGCAGTATAACAGCAGTATAACATCATAACAGCAGTATAACAGCAGTATAACAGCAGTATAACAGCAGTATAACAGCAGTATAACAGCAGTATAACAACAGTATAACAACAGTATAACAACAGTATAACAGCAGTATAACAGCAGTATAACAACAGTATAACAACAGTATAACAGCAGTATAACAGCAGTATAACAACAGTATAACAACAGTATAACAACAGTATAACAGCAGTATAACAGCAGTATAACAGCAGTATAACAGCAGTATAACAGCAGTATAACAGCAGTATAACAGCAGTATAACAGCAGTAAAACAACAATATAACAGCAGTATAACAACAGTACAACAGCAGTTTCACAGCAGCTGGTGAATATCTTCTCTACAACACTTGCAGGTTTCTTCTACTCTTAAGGTTATGCCCAAAATGCCTCGGCATGGTAATGGTTTTCTTTGTACCAATCAAATTATGAAATGTAAACACACATTGTAACCTTAGCAAAGTAATAATCTTTTGATTTTAATTATTATTACCATTATGTTTTCCTTATTGTTGATGGTTTATAGGGCCACTGACACCTAACACCGTATTGAACCCTCCTGCCCGTGAAACACTTTAACCTCACTATAAGATAAGATTTTGTTCGAATTTTAGTCACCCAGGATAACCCAGGGTAGGGTGTTAACCACCCAGGATAACCCAGGGTAGGGTGTTAGCCACCCAGGATAACCCAGGGTAGGGAGTGTTAGCCACCCAGGATAATCCATGGTAGGGAGTGTTAACCACCCAGGATAACCCAGGGTAGGGAGTGTTAACCACCCAGAATAACCCAGGCTAGGGAGTGGTAACCACCCAGGATAACCCAGGGTAGGGAGTGTTAACCACCCAGGATAACCCAGGGTAGGGAGTGTTAACCACCCAGGATAACCCAGGGTAGGGAGTGTTAACCACCCAGGATAACCCAGGGTAGAGAGTGTTAACCACCCAGGGTAGGGAGTGTTAACCACCCAGGATAACCCAGGGTAGGGAGTGTTAACCACCCAGGATAACCCAGGGTAGGGAGTGTTAACCACCCAGGATAATCCATGGTAGGGAGTGTTAACCACCCAGGATAACCCAGGGTAGAGAGGGTTGGCCACTCAGAATAACCGGGGGTAGGGAGGGTGCAAACTCTTCCACATAACCAGTCACAGTAGGAGTCCCACAAGGAAGCGTCCTTGGACCACTCCTCTTTCTCATCTACATTAATGACCTACCGAATGCATCACAGATACTCAAACCCATATTATTTGCAGATGACACTACATACGTCTTATCACACAGAAACCCAGCCATACTCGCCAACACTGTCAATTCCCTGGAGTTTACCTGGAGAGAGTTCCGGGGGTCAACGCCCCCCCGGCCCGGTCTGTGACCAGGCCTCCTGGTGGATCAGAGCCTGATCAACCAGGCTGTTACTGCTGGCTGCACGCAATCCAACGTACGAACCACAGCCCGGCTGGTCAGGTACCGACTTTAGGTGTTTGTCCAGTGCCTGCTTGAAGACAGCCAGGGGTCTATTGGTAATCCCCCTTATGTATGCTGGGAGGCAGTTGAACAGTCTCGGGCCCCTGACACTTATTGTATTGCCTCTTAACGTGCTAGTGACACCCCTGCTTTTCATTGGGGGGATGTTGCATCGTCTGCCGAGTCTTTTGCTTTCGTCTCCCACCTGCGTTCCAGGGAGTACAGACCATACCACGGGCGGGATTTGAACCCGCGGTCAGAGAGTCTCAAAACTCCAGACAGTCTCGTTAGCCACTGGACCAGTTAGCCACAATAAGATTCGTCCAACTAGGTATATTTCTACACCATAGGAAGGTTAGCATAGGCACCACTGTGACCACAAATGCAAGTTTTTACAGACGAATCTCCAGCTAGCGTGGCCGTGACGAACTCTAGCTCAAGTCTCCTCAAAGCCGTTAACATGACTCACGAAATCGTAATGACACGATTGCAAACAAACCATACCACGGGCGGGATTTGAACCCGCGATCAGAGAGTCTCAAAATTCCAGACCGTCGTGTTAGCCACCTAGTTGGACGAATCTTATTGTGGCTAGCTGGTCCAGTGGCTAACGCGACGGTCTGGAGTTTTGAGACTCTCTGACCGCGGGTTCAAATCCCGCCCGTGGTATGGTTTGTTTGCAATCGTGTCATTACGATTTCGTGAGTCAGGGAGTACAGGTTCAGGAACTTCAAGCGCTCCCAGTAATTGAGGTGTTTTATCTCCGTTATGCGCGCCGTGAAGGTTCTCTGTACATTTTCTAGGTCAGCAATTTCACCTGCCTTGAAAGGTGCTGTTAGTGTGCAGCAATATTCCAGCTGAATTGCAGAAAATATCTACCTGGATGATGACGGATAAACTTACCCTAAATTACCTGACGTTTACCTGGAGAGAGTTCTGGGGGTCAACGCCCCCGCGGCCCGGTCTGTGACCAGGCCTCAAGGTGGATCATGGCCTGACCAACCAGGCTGCTACTGCTAGCTGCACGCAATCCAACGTACGAGCCACAGCCCGGCTGGTCAGGTACCGACTTTAGATACCTATTTAGGTACCTATTTCATTCAGTTTGTAACCGGAGCTGCAAATGTTCCACTTAACATAACACTAAATGGGTCACCCATCACAAGACTCACAGAGGGAAAATTCCTAGGAATCCTGACGCCAAATGACTTCAAACAGGCGATAAATGACATGCCCATGCACTCTGCCCCAGGGCCAGACTCTTGGAACTCCGTGTTCATCAAGAACTGCAAGAAGCCCCTATCACGAGCCTTTACCATCCTATGGAGAGGGAGCATGGACACGGGGGTCGTCCCACAGTTACTAAAAACAACAGACATAGCCCCACTCCACAAAGGGGGCAGTAAAGCAACAGCAAAGAACTACAGACCGATAGCACTAACATCCCATATCATAAAAATCTTTGAAAGGGTCCTAAGAAGCAAGATCACCACCCATCTAGAAACCCATCAGTTACACAACCCAGGGCAACATGGGTTTAGAACAGGTCGCTCCTGTCTGTCTCAACTATTGGATCACTACGACAAGGTCCTTGATGCACTAGAAGACAAAAAGAATGCAGATGTATATATACAGACTTTGCAAAAGCCTTCGACAAGTGTGACCATGACGTAATAGCGCACAAAATGCGTGCTAAAGGAATAACAGGAAAAGTCGGTCGATGGATCTATAATTTCTTCACTAACAGAACACAAAGAGTAGTAGTCAACAGAGTAAAGTCCGAGGCAGCCACGGTGAAAAGCTCTGTTCCACAAGGCACAGTACTCGCTCCCATCTTGTTCCTCATCCTCATATCTGACATAGACAAGGATGTCAGCCACAGCACCATGTCTTCCTTTGCAGATGACACCCGAATCTGCATGACAGTGTCTTCCATTGCAGACACTGCAAGGCTCCAGGCGGACATCAACCAAATCTTTCAGTGGGCTTCAGAAAACAATATGAAGTTCAACGATGAAAAATTTCAATTACTCAGATATGGTAAACACGAGGAAATTAAATCTTCATCAGAGTACAAAACAAATTCTTACCACAAAATAGAGCGTAACACCAACGTCAAAGACCTGGGAGTGATCATGTCGGAGGATCTCACCTTCAAGGACCATAACATTGTATCAACTAGGGAGGCCAAGCCCATGATGACACTCTTCAGGTCACTTGTTCTATCTAGGCTGGAATATTAAGATAAGATAAGATAAGATTTCGTTCGGATTTTTAAC